AAGCGCTTTCGAAACACAATAAGGGAAATCGATATATTCTGGTGGGAATTGATGTATTATCAAAACGTCTATTTACACTACCTCTAAAAACTAAGAAAGGAGAAGAAATGGTAAAAGCATTTCAGGATCTAATTGATAAAATGCCTATGAAACCGCATAGAATTTTTTCTGATAAGGGTACAGAATTTAAAAATAAACAGTTAAAAGAATTTTTTATGAAGGAGGATATTCAAAAACTTGAAGCAAATCATTCTACAGTAAAAGCTTCTATAGCTGAGAGATCAATTAGAAATATTAAGCAACGTTTATATAGATATTTCGCACAGAAAAAGACATTAAAATGGATAGATGTTCTCGAAAAAATTGTAGACGGAATAAATCATTCAATATCCAGAGTTCATGGATTGCGTCCAATTGATGTAAATTTCGCAAATGCTCAAAATGTGTGGAAAAAGATTTATGGGAATATTTTTTCAAAGATCAAAAATGTTAAGTCAAAATTTACTAAGGGTGATTATATTCGGCTAAGTAGAGAGAAAGGTAATTTCGAGAAAGGTTATTTACCAAACTGGGGAGATGAAATATTACAAGTTGATGACGTAAAGACAACTCTATACCCTATTACATACAAAATCAAAGATGATAAAGGGGACAAATTCAAAGGGTCTTTCTATAAAGAGGAGCTGGCAAAAGTAAGGAGAGATGACAATACTGAATACCGTATTGAGAAGAGAATACTGATAATGTTGATACTAATAAATTTACTTTGTGGAGGGGAGGTATTCGTCTAAGTGGTAACCTAACACTTTTGAAAAATATGATCAATTCTATTACATTTGATTACAACAATGATTTTGGGAGATTCTTTTTAAAAATTAATCATTCAAATATCGATTACATATCATTATCAACACAATTATGCTATGTTCTAGGATTTGAAAATCCTCAAATAATTAAAAATAAAGACGTTGCAAAGTATGGAAGTGACCTAAGAGGAGGTTTTTCTAGCTTCGGCGTGTATGTAAAAGGACTCACTGAAAAGATGATTATTGGCGATTCACTCAGTTCGTTGCTTCGTGTGGTGTCAATTTCAGGTGCTACCCCTGGAGAGTATAACGAAAAGATTTATGATACACCAATTTACTCAAGAGTTCTTCCCAAGGAAATAAATGATATAGAAGTTGAACTTAGAACATTAGACAATGGACGTTTAGTACCGTTCTCCTATGGAACAGTACTCATAGTATTAATTTTTAAAAAAGTAATAAATTTTTAATAATATATAAATAGATTCATATTTTTATTTATTCATTTATTAAATTATTAATAAAATTGTTTAAAAAATGGTACATATTATATTTGATACATCAAAAGTAGGATATGATGATTTTATTCAGAGTATTCAAAAAGGTGGAGGTCTCGAAAATTTAAGCGAAAACACCTATACATACTTCAAAGGTGCGCCTCCTTTCCAAAGAGGATACGGTATTCAAAGTGGTGCGGGAATTGGCGATGTATTTAGAGGACTTTGGCGATTTTTCCTTCCAATCATGAAACGTGTAGGCACTACTGTATCCCAAGAGGCGTTAAACACTGGTCAAAGAGTGTTAGACAGAGTCAATCAAGGAGAGAATATAAAAAGCGCATTTACAAGTGAGGGAAGAAAAGGAATTGATACTATACTTGATAAAGGTGGTCTACCTAAACAATTTGGTACAGGACGTGGGAGAAATAGTATAAAAGGAGGAAGAAACTCATTAATAAATCAACATAAAACAATTATTAATAAAATTATTAAAAAACCTAAAGTTTTTAAAAAAAGAATTAGGTCAGACGCATTTGGTTTATATTAGTTATAATGGCATTTCATAAGATAGACAACGATAGTGTTAATTCAATTACAAATGCCTTAGATTTTTTTCAAATTCCACCAACGAATGTGAGCATCTCATCATCTAAAGTATATGAGATATTGACTAGTAATCCTTTAACAGATACTCCTTATCATTTTAAAATACATTCAAGTCAAAATTTCATCGATCTCTCCAAGTGTTATATTTTATCAGAATTTCGGATACGAAAAGAAGAAAATGGTCAATTAGTAAATTTAGCTCCAAATGAAAACGTAGCACCTATCCAGCTAATTGGTTTGACTTTCATAAATAATATGCGCATAACTATTAATGGCAGAGAAATATTTAATTCAAACTCCTTATATGCCTATAAAACATATCTTTCACATGAATTTTCATATCCAACTACATCTAAAAATTCACATTTAAATTCAGCTGGATATTACGGTAATAATGAGTTAACTCTAGAGGCTGGATCAGGATTTGCTACAAGAAGAGCATTGTTTACATCAAGTAGGACAGCACAGTTTCTATCAAAAATAGACGCTGATCTATTTAATCAGCCTCTCTATCTAGTTAATCATTGTGAAGTAGATATTGAAATAATACCTAATGATACAAATTTTGTTTTAATTGGTCAACGAGGAACAAGATATCACTTTGAGATTCTCAATTGTAAACTTTACGTGAAGAAAGTTGACTTAATGGATGGATTGGCTCTGGATATAGCTCGAAAACTTGAAACAAATCCGGCTCGATATGCTATTAGAAAAACAATGATGAAATCACTATTTATTAGTCCAGGGCGCTATGAATTTAACGCAAATCTATTTATGGATCAAATACCTCGTCGAATTACTCTAGGGTTAGTAGCTAACGCGGACTATGTTGGAAATATAACAAGAAGCCCATTCAATTTTCAACCATTTAATGTTAGAGAAATATGTATTGTAGCCAATGGTAGAAATTATCCTCAGGCTCCTTATGATTTAGACTACCCTAGTGGAAAGTTTGCACGTGCCTTCAGTGATATGAACGAGGCGATTGGATTTAATAATTCAATGGAAAGTAATGGAATTAGTTTACTCCAATTTGGAAACACACATTGTGTGTATATATTTAACATGACAAACAGTGGAGATGATCATGGCGGTCTCTTTGATCTTATTAGAAATGGAACCACGTCTGTAAATATTAAATTTAGTAATCAAGTGCCAGATGGAGGATTGATGTTAATAGTGATGGGTGAGGCAGACTCACTACTTATGTTAGATAAAAATAGAACAATTTCTAGCGATACCACAATCTAATATTTAAGCTCATAAAATTTTTTTTCATTTTATATTTCATATTTCATTAATATTTTTATATTACAGTTAATATGTATATTAAATTAATATTTTTATTAATAAATATTTTAACACATGTCTCAACATATAATATTAAACATCAGGATTTGCCTGAATATTCAGAATATTTGCGTCAAAATTTATCAAATTTAAGAGAATCAAAAATTAATATAAGACAGTCCCCCATTTCTTTTCCTCAATTTACAGCGCTTAGTTTTTGTACAGAACCAAAAAGCGATTTTGAAAATGTTTATTGCTGGGTCATGCTTGTAATTTACATATTAATGATTACTAGCCTTGTAATTTACCAAATCCGCTCAATTATATGGTTCAAGGTCAAACTACCGCAACAGCAAGTACAAAATGTAGTGTAATGAATAATTAACATTTATGTTTCATTTAAAAGTAAAAATACTTGATACTTGAATTGATACTTGATACTTGAATCGATACTTGAAGATACTTGTGGACAACATTGTATTTGTTTTATTTATTTTTTATCACTAGGATACACTTTTAATGATTATATAAATTATTTGGAAGGATATTCTAAATCATGTGATTTATTTGTAAGAAAATTTATGAATAAAATGATAACTTATTTTTTCAACAAAAAGTAATTATTTCAAAATTTAATATTTATTTCGATATTTTAATTTAACAATCATAATATATAATTTTAGAGAGTTAAATAATAAGATTAATTAAGTATTATTTAAAATTGGTTGTTTAATTCTAAAACTTTCAGTCGGCTTTTCTTTTAGTCCCAGCTTTCTTGAAGGGTGCCAGAACATCTGAAGCACGGCAATTTGTATCGATGCAGTCATTGCATAAGTCAATTTTCAAAGTAACTCCTGTTGCATAACGTATAAATTTGTCTTGCATCAGGAATAAGCGATTCTGACAGGCTAAAATTTAAAAATTTAATTAAAATTTTTAAATTAAATTTTCACCTGAGCACAGCTTAATTGTAAGCAGATATTTACATCTGATTAGTTTCCAGAGATATTCATTCTTGATTGTCTTCTTATCTTCAGTTGCCTTCTTATCTTTTGCCTTGGCAAGTTCCTCCTTAGTAAGTGGTTCATAGAATGGTGTGTGAATTTCAATTAAATCATTAATTGGGTTTGTCACATCAGGGGTTGAGTCAGTAGCTTCTACATTGGCCTTTTCATTGGCAACTTCTTTTACTTCCTTAACTGAAGAAGTTTTGCGGGGCATTATTAATATATTTAAATGAAGTATCTTTTTACTTAAATAATTTTTAGAATGAGTGAATGAATAAGAGGATAACTTTTTTGAGTAAAAAAGTGGGCGGTAACTTGTAGTTTTAATTTATGCATTGTAATTAATATAAACCACACCCCTATTAATTATTTAAATCAAAGATTTTATCGAATCATTTACAAAAATTTTATAACTAGATCATTAATTATTAATAATTAAAAATGGTGCTTCTTATTGACGAATTTTCTAAAGTATTAAATTGTAAACCCTCAAAACTCCGTGAACGACTTCAACATCCTAAAGATCGTGAACTAATCCTGGAAAAATTTAAAGGAAAGCTTGTTCGAACTACTTACATGGACAGAAATGAATTCAACAAAACATTTAAAATTGGAGGTTTGAGTGACTTTGGCGCAGATAAAATTAATGCTTACGGACGTCTACCGCGTCCATTTAATATTAGCGTGACTGCTCATTTTTATTCACGTCACCGCATACGTCTTCATCACCCTTACACGCATTGCGTCATTGAAAAATTCAGTGACAAGAAAAGTGGAGCCGAGGATAGATACTATCCTCTAGAATTGTTGGAAATCATCGATGAGTCATCAACTAACCCTTTTAAGACTTTTATGCGCGATGACAACAAAGAAACCTTCGATGTAAAAATAGAATTAAATGATGAAGAAAAAGATGATAAGGAATTTGAAACATATGCTCGTGCACGAAAAGAATGTAACCAGCTGTCATTTGATACATATTGGTGATAATTTAATGATTTTTCTAAATTTTTTAAAGATTTCATCTTCTATTAGCTAATATTGCCAATTCACCCCCAAAATCACCTACTTTTAATTACTAATTATTTTAAAATTTCATCTTCTAAAAATATTAATTTCAAGTTTTTTTAAAATTTCATCTTCTATTCGTTAATATTGCCAATTCACCCCCAAAATCACCTACTTTTAATTACTAGAGCCCGGATTTTTATGCATTAAAAAATGCAAAATATGCACTATAATATGCATAAAAAATTGCCAAAATATGCACAAAAATATGCAAGTAAACCAAAATATACACGCATATATGTATGAAAAATACAATTTATACCTAAAAATTTTACATATTTTTAGTCAAAATGATTTAAAATACATTTTTTTATTAAGATTTCTCCTATTTTAAATGTATAGTTCGACAAATTGAGCATTTTTACGGTGTTGGGCATTTTGAGATGAGGCATTTTGGTGGTGGGACATCTTGGGGTGCGACGTTTTGGGGCTGAGACATTATGGGGGTGGGCCATTTTCTGGCGAAACCAATAAACACAAAAAATTTTTTACAAAATTTGTAATTTTTACAATTTTTTTCCTAAATTTTTACTAAATTTTCACTTTTTGGCAGGATTTTAGGCAATTTTCGCAATATTTTCTCCAAAAACCTCAAAATATGCAGTAAAATATGCATTATGCAACAAAGTCCGGAATATGCAAAAATATGCATTATATGCAAATAGAAACCCCCTCTAAAGTTTTCAAAACTTGCGGAAACAGTGTTTTTTGTGCATAACACATCATGAAAAGTTTGCAAAAAAATATGCATTTGCATAAAAATCCGGGCTCTATTAATTACTAATTATTTTAAAATTTCATCTTCTAAAAATATTAATTTCAAGTTTTTTTAAAATTTCATCTTCTATTCGTTAATATTGCCAATTTACCCCCAAAATCACCTACTTTTAATTGTTAATTATTTTAAAATTTCATCTTCTAATAATATTGATTTAAATTTTTTTTTGAAAATTTCATCTTCTATTCATTAATATTGTCAATTTACCCCTAAAAACACCTACTTTTAATTACTAATTATTTTAAAATCTCATCTTGTTAAATAATATCAATTTTATAATTTTATAAATTATTATTTTAATAAAAATTTAATTGAAAATATATGGATAATTATCTAATGTAACCAAAATTTAATAGAGTAAAATTATTAGGTAAATAATGATCTTTCAAACGTAAGGCTTATACTTTGTGCATGGGTAGAAATTACAGATCCTGTGGTATAGATGGGTTATAAAATTGGGGTCCCAACAAAGAATCGACCAGATGAGAAAAACGCAATAATTTGATTAGATTAAAAATTTTAATTGTATTACATATTTATTAAATAAATTATAAATTTACATAAAAATGATAATTAATATAAAAATTAGAAAGAAATTAGTTAAAATAATTTTATAAATTTTTGAAATAATCTATAATATTTGAAATGGGAGGTTCGTATAAAAATCGCCATCTTGAATACATTAGGTAATCAGTTTTATTAGATTTTCCAAATTTGAACTTGTTGTCATAAAGGTCCCAGCGTAGAATCCAACGTCCCATATTTTTTATTTCTGATTGTCTTGCTAAATCTTCCTTTTTAGGATAATAAATATCTTTTATATACCACCGCATAGATAATCTTAAATCGATATCTGTTTTATTAGATGAAGATTTGATTAAATTATTTCGAGTTTGAATCTTACCCAAATTATTTACAGTTCTATTAAAAAATATTGGTGGTGGAGTTCTCCTCCAGATTGGTATTGGCGTGACCCGAAATAATGTTGTCACTAATTCCTCGATCTTCCAGGGTTTTGCCTTTAAGTCGTTAGCCAATAAGAATGGAATAAATATTAAAATAAATGAAAATATTAACATTTTAAATAATAATAGAATTTTATTATTAATTGACTTTATGGAAACTAATTTATTAATTTTAATAATAATTTATCTCAATATAAAAATTTTTAATTTGATATTAATAAATAGTTTACAAAATTTAACCTAATCAAATTCATGTATATTATTGCGATTCCGACGTAGTGTGTGCGCGAGTATATATCTTATATAATTGTGTACTGTAACATATGGACACTTCAACCTTGCAGGACCCATCGTTAAGGGAATATGCCTGATAAATGCATATATTTTAAATTTTTATTTAAAATATTTGTTATTTCTCTAATTATTACATCAGTTTTATCTTGTATTCCTTAATTTTACAGATATTTTATCTTCTAACGCTTAACTTTGCATTTTTACCCCCAAAATCTATATCTTTCATTGCTTAATTTTACATGAACTTCATCTTCTATTTATTAACTTTACATTAATTTTATCTTCAAATCTTAACTTTATATTAATTTTATCTTGTATTCCTTAACTTTACAACTATTTTATCTTCTAACGCTTAACTATGAATTTTTACCCCCAAAATCTATATCTTCCATTGCCTAATTTTACATCAATTTTACCTTCTAATCCTTAACTTTGTATCAATTTTATCTTCCAACTTTTTAGTACACACATTTATATCATAAAAACTTAAATTTAAAGAACAATATTGTGTGCGTGTATGTCTGGTAGCAATAAAATATTGAGAAGAAAATTAGTTTAAAATTTTTATATGATAATAAATACTCGAGTCTTCCCGAGCACAAGATATATAAGTAATAGTATAAGCTTCAGAAATAAATTAAAATTAAATCAATCAGATGTGTCTCGAGGTAGCTGATAGGTCAAGAAGTTTATCAATAAAACAGAAAATAAATTTAAAAATATATTAATATGAAAATCTAATAATTGAGTCTTCCCGAGCACAAGATATATGAGCAATAGTATAAGCTTCAAATATAAAACAGATTTAAATCAAGCGGTTGGGTAACAAGGTAGCTAATAGACCATGAAGTCTAAGGATTGGATATTAAGAGGAATTAAATTTTCAAATATAAGAATGATTTAATGATTTTACCCTGCTTTCGTCGACACTGAATTTAACACTATAATAACAAGTTTGGACCACTCAAAACAGTAGACTAATTGATAACTAGTAATATAACTAGTAAGACTCAAATTACTATAGGTTTATCCTTTTAGTTCACACGCACTCATAGACAGACTCTATTCTTTTTTTTAACCACTCCTCCGCGATCTTTTTTTTTATCGGACCCCACCTACCACACGACTGTGCCAATATGCCCACTCTCTTTTTTATTTTTAGCGCGATCTTTAAAAGTGTGATTATTTGAATTTTATTATTTTATATAAATATTGTTTTTATTTTCAAATTTTACAATATAATTACTTTAAGTCCATCTTTTTACATTATTTATTTTATATAAGAAATAAATAGGTATATCTCTTTATTGAATTTTACAATATAATTGATTCGTTTGAACCTGCATCCTTTTTCAACTAACCGCCGAAAAACTTCCTCCACACGCAATGGATAATTGCACTCCCCGCTCACTGTACTTTATAATTAACCCCTGACTCCACCATTCCCAAACACTTCGATACCTATCAACCTGAATAGGTGAGAGATTACCGTTCAAAAGGGAAAGTTAATCGTTACCGCAACAATACCTATAGGATTTGACTAATTACTTTTTAATTATTTAATTAATTATTATATAATTATTTAATTAATTATTAATTACCATCCCCCTTACTTCGTAATCCTATTACTTTTTAAACTAATTTAAGTAATTACTTTTTAATTTGATTTTACTAATTAGATTTTATTATTTTTCAATATATTATTTTTTTATATTATTTTTTTTTACTTTTCACTTAATTATTAATTACTCATTAATTAGTAATTATTATTTAATTATTAATTTATTATTATTAGATCTTTCAAATAGGATCAGGAATTTATGTTTTATTATTTAATTATTATGTATTGGCTTTTTAATTAGAGAGGGCTTAGTGAGTGCGGGATTTTATTTGATGACTAATATTGCAACCATTTAATTAATTACGATAATTATTACGTAATCATATAATTATGGTCCTTTTATTAGAGAGGGTCATTATACTAGGGGTTATTGTTCATTAAACAAGGGCTAATTGTTTTCGGACCCCTTTAATCTAACACATTTATTAAATTATTACCTAGTTATTATTTAATTATTAATTACCCTTCCCCTCCCATTCAACCACTTAATTATTAATTACTCATTAATTAGTAATTATTATTTAATTATTAATTACCCTTTCCCTCTCTTTTAACCCATTAATAATTACTTTTTAATTAGTAATTATTATTTAATTATCGGTCTTTTATTGGAGAATATGTACCTCATACCCTTTCAAGTGACCGCCGACCCCTTCCATAGGTTTAGGCTTCCCTGTCAAACCCTTCCATAGGCACTAGTTAATTGACAGCGGACCCCTCCCCAACCCAGTCGGTCATTTGGTTTGTCCACTCAAACCCTTCTTTACCCTTAGGATAATTGCCCGTTGACCCCTCCCCACCCTACTCGGTCATTTGGTTTGTTCACTCAAACCCTTCTTTACCCTTAGGATAATTGCCCACTGACCCCTTCCCACCCCCACTCACTCAATAGGTTGATCAACCAAACCCTCCTTTAGGCACAGGCTATCCTCTCTCGGACCCCTCCCCCCACGACCCACTCAATACCTTTGAGTTTAGTGCGGGAAATTTTACCGCAAATTACAACGGTGCGTGTGTTTCTACTACTATTGGCACTATTTATTAAATTAAATAAAAGATTTAGAAGGAAATATACTTCCTTATTTTTCTTTTTGTTTTAGCATTTACAAATTGAGTGTAAATTAAAAGAACAGAAATAGAAATCATATAAAACCCCGAATATTTTATAGAAACTTAAATCCAAACATTTAAAACACTAAAACAAATATTAAAACATCCAAAGTTAAATAAAAATTTTGTTTTCCGCAAAGACATTAGTAAGGACACACACAACATGTTTTTACTATGTTTTTCCGGAAAA